GGACTGAGGGCGGGCCGTTTTCAACATGTGGGTCTGGCCTTAGCGCCGCGCGCATTCGTGTTTACATATTGCAAGAGTTTCACGGATTGAGGGCATGTTGGTGTTGAACATTTGCAATAGTATCTCATATTGAAGGCTGTTCGTTTTCAATCAGGGGTTCTCGCCCTAGCACCGCGAGCGTTCGTCTTAAATTTTGCAAGGGCTTCGTTGGTTATCACGGTTCATGTATCAGAAGTGTTGCTTTGGAACGGTTCAGGATTGTCAGGGCGCGGCAGTTATTTTGATTCGTTGTGTTGAAATCCCAGGAATGTTTTTCTGAGACGATTCAGGATCGTCAAGACGCACAAGTTTGGTAGACTCGTGGCGTTGAAGTCCTGAGAATGGTGTTTTGGCACGCTTCAGGATTTTGACACGGCTGTCGCCAAACGGGGCTCTTCTTTCAATGGAAATGAATTCTTGTAGGGACTTAACCAGAGGGAGCTTGGAGGAAGGGTGTGTTCCAACATCGTTGACGAGTCTTGGGTTTACACTGGCCTGGTCCTCCTCTCCTCCTCCTCCTCCTCCCTCCTCCCTCCTCCCATACCTGCCTCTGCCTTCCGCATGTCCATGTCGGCAGACCCCTCACACGTTTTGTGGCCCCGTAGGGAGCTCCACCTGAGGCCACAGTGGGAAGGTTCGCATGGCACCGCTGCCCCACTGCGGCACACTCCTCACACGCTTCGCGGCCCGAAAGGGGGCTCCACCTGACGCCCCAGTGGGAGGGTTCGCATGGCACCGCCGCCCCATTCCGGCACACCACTCACACGTTTCGCGGCTCCATAGGGAGTTCCACCTAAGGCCCCCGTGGGAGGGTTTGCCGCCCCATTTCGGCACACCCTTGCGGGACGGGAAAATGACCACAGCCACTGCTTCTTGTTTGAGCCGCCTTCCAGCCGGCCGAAAAAAGAAGCAGTGGTTGTGGTCATTTCCCTGGTGCCAAGCTGAACGAAAATGACCACAACCACTGCTGTGTTTCTGCGGGCTGGAAGGCGGCAACAAAAGAAAAGCAGTGGCTGTGGTCGTTTTCTCTCCCCGTAACCCTTCTCACGCTTCGTGGCCTCAAAGCCCGCATGACACCGCCGCCTCATTTCATCATTTTGGCGCACCCCTCACACGCTTCATGGCCCCATAGGAAGCTCCGCCTGCGGCCCCAGTGGGAAGGCCTGCATGGCACCGCCGCCCCATTCCGGCACACCCCTCTCACGCCTCGTGGCCCTCGCGCCATCTCGGCACACCCCTCACACGTCTCGTGGCCCCATAGGGAGCTCCACCTAATGCCCCCGTGTGAGGGATAGCATGGTACAGCCGCGCCATTTCGGCACGCCCCTCATCAGCATGGCGGCCCCGCCCCATCTCAGCAGACCCTTCACACGCTTCTTGGCCCCATGAGGAGATCCAGCGAAGGCGATACTCACAACGACGGTACTCACAACTACATACTGTTGGGCCCTTCGCCAGGATAATTTATCAGTGTTGGGCCTCTGGGGGCCTCTTGTGGCTCCTGGTACCTCCTGAAGACCTCCAGGGTCCGTCTGTCTGGGGGCTTCCCGAGGATTCCTGGGGGATCCCTTGAGGGCTTTGGCGGGGGGGGGGTATTCTGCGGGATGTTTAGTGGAGGTTCCAAGGATGAGGTGTTAAGGTCTGGGGGCGTCAGAAGTGCATGGGGGGGGGGTCTGGTGGGGAAGAGGAGGACCAGTGTAAACCCAAGACGCACCAACGATGCTGCAAGCAACCCTCTCTCCAAGTCCCCTCTGGACAGATCCGTATCAGAGCTTATTTTCATTGCGGGAAGTGCCCTATTGGAAGACAAGTGTCCGAGAATCCTCAACCGTGCCAGAGCACTATTCCTGGGAGTTCAACGCCGCGAGTCAACATGACTGTTGCGTCCTGACGATCCTCAACCGTGCCAGAACACCTTTTCCTGGGACTTCAAACCGCGAATCAACGTGACCGTCGCGTCCTGACAATCCTAAATCTTGCCAGAGTACCATCCCTGGGACATCAGCCATGCGAGTCCTTGAAGTTCCTGCAGAACTTCTAAGAGGAATGTGCACGGCGCTTTGGCGAGAGCCACATGTTGAAAAGGAGCCGCCCTCAATCCTTGAAGCTGCTGCATTTTTTTCAGACGAATGTGCGCGGTGCGATTGCGAGAGTCGCATCTTGAAAGCAACCCGCCCTCCCTCCTTGAGACGGTTGCGAACTTTTCAGATGATTGTGCGCGGCGCTACGGCGAAAGCCACATAGTGAAAACGACCCACCCCCTATCCTCAAGACCGCTGCAGACTAATAGGAGGAATGTGCGCGGCGCCAAGGCAAGCGCCCCATTTTGAGAACCACCAGTCCTCCATCTTGGAACCTGTTGCAAAGGCGCGAAAGCGCGAGCCACATTAATACCGCCCGCCCTACATCCTCGAAGCCGTTGCACGTTTCAAGCTTCAGAATCAAAAGCGGTGAAGAAGTCTCAGCCGGATCGCCCGGCCCGCCCTGACGACACGACATAGGGTGCGACAGGGAGGAGCTATTCATATGGATAAGGGGTGGAGGAGGATGAGCAGGAGGAGGAGGAGGAGGAGGAGGAGCAGGAGGCAGAGGAGGAGGAGGAGGAGGAGGAGGAGGAGGAGGAGGAGGAGGAGGAGGAGGAGGAGGAGGAGCGGGAGGGAGCAGGGAGGAGGATGGCAGAAGGAGTAAGCAGCACCAGGTGGTGGTCCACAAGTGATGCGAAGGAGCGCGTTCTGCGGACGTTGGGAGGGCGGGGGTGGGCTCAAACCAGGCCCGTGCACTGCAAGGGGGGGTGGGCTCGAGCTGGCCCCCCCGCCCCCCCTCCCTGAATTGCAAGGGGCGGGGAGGGGGGGGGGGTCAGGAGGGAAAAACACACACAGACACAATTCATCGTCGATTCCCCAGAAAATATGGGAAAACCTGGGAAGTGGGGGGGGAGACAAGAACCCAGAAAAGATGGGAAAACATAGGGATTCCTGTTATTTGTGTGTGTATTTATTTGTGTGTCCCAGGGCCCCTCCAGGGGGGGTTCGAGCCTGGAGCGCCCCTCCCCCCTCCCTCCCCAGTTTGCACCCGGCGACGGCGAGCGCTGGCGCTGGCGCGGGCGCCGTCGGGCAGCGACGACGACGACGACGACGACGACGATCGATCCCGAGTAGGGTGCTGATGAGGCCGGATCGAGCCCCAGCAGGATTCGATTAGAATCGGATCGAGCCGCGGTAGGATTCAGTCAGAGCCTGATCTAGCTATGGTTGGATCCTGTTAGAGTTGGATCGAGCCCGATGAGGGTATTATGAACGTTGGGCCCAGTGTAGTAGGATTGGATTCAAGCTGGACCGAGCCTTAGTCTGACATGATTCAATTCGAGCTGGATCCAGCTATGTATAACGCTATTCTGGTAGAGTTGGCTCGTGTCCAACTAGGATGTCATTAAAGTTGGATGGTAGGAACCCAGAAGTGCTTGTCAAACACTGATTGGGATCTATTAGGGGCGGGGTGGGGCCCTCCCTCCGGTCGCATCCCCCTCCGGTTAGGCTATTGTCCGGTCAGGGCTCCCCCCCAGTTCTCCGCGCGCTTCGATTTTTTTTTTGGGGTGTGTGTGTGACGGTTCCGGCGTATCCAGGGTTATTCTATTCCGAGCAAGCGTCCACAAGACGCGTTCCCTCAGTGATGCCCCCCCCTCCTTTTCCCCCCCTGCTGGAGGGAGGTGCAGTTCTGTCATTGTAGCGCATGTGTCCACGCAGGACGGGAAGCTGATCGGGACCTTCCAGCGGCCTCCCTTGTCGCGACCGACGAGGGCGGACGGTCGCGACCGCCCGGAGAGCCGAGCCGCCGCCAAGGCGGCCCATGGGGCGCTCCACGACGGCCCCAGGACTGGCACGTGCGCGCTCTGTGGACACTGCCGCCCCCCCCCCCCCCTCCGCTGGCTTGTAAGCGGGCTCCCGCGGGCGATGGCACTCGTTGGGTGGTGTCGCGCGCCGCGTGGTGGCGCGCGGCGGAGGGGACGAGAGGGTGGGGAAGGGAGTCATCGAGATCAAAATGACCCTTAACCCCAGCGACACGATGAAGACGTGGCCTCTCCGAGGTCCCCGTCTTCGCATGAGGGACAATCGGTCTGGGCAGTTGTGCGTGGTACATCTGCAGAAAGAGACCCCCTATCCCTAATATTGTTGGCCCTCCTGACTTTGGTCCCCTCCCAAAGGGCTAAGGACATTATGTGTTGTCAGGGAGGGATGGCAGGGGTCGTTTCGAGCCCTCCGATTCGATTAGGAGTCGATTTCGATTGTCTCCGATTCCGATTCGACTTCGGTTTCCGATTTGGATCTCGATTTCTCAAAGGAGGCCTGCTAGCCTGCCGATTTCTGCCGATTCGAGTTCTTCCGACTCGGCTGCCGATTTCCGCCGATCCGATTCATTTTGATCGCCGATCCGACTTATCGATTCGATTCCAGGCTCTCCTGGGATGGGGGAGGGAACCAGAGTCGGACATTCGCAGAGGGGGGCAGGGGGAGGGGGAGGCTTCTTTGAAACACCCCTGCTTCTTGAAGGCGCGGGCCTTCTCTATGGATGTAGGGCGGGCCGGCGCCTTTTAGGAAGCGGCCTCCTTCTGAGAAGCCTTCCCCCTCCCTTTACCCCCCTCTGCGCGCCGCCAACAGGAGAGAGGGACAGAGGCCATCGAGGGGGGAAAAGTCGCAGAAGGCAGCGACGGATCAGAGGAATGGAGGGAAGCCAGAAACAGATCCGTCCGACACGTGTTCCTTTTTGCCATACACGGTTTCCCCCACAGACAGGCACGTTCCAAGCTGCAGCGGAACGAATGGCGGTGCAGAGGGGAAGGAGCGGGAGTGGGAGGCGGAGGGGGGGGCGGGGAAGGGGACGGGGGCAGGGGCAGTGGCAGGGAACGACTAAGAGGGAATCGGGGCCGGTTTTTCGGGATCTCCTCCATCTTGCGGCGGCGGGAGGACCGTGTTCGAGGAGACCGTCATGTACCACAAAGCATCTGGTGCACTCACTCTTGCGTCCTCCTGCCTCTCTGGAGAAGCTTCGGGTTCCTGGAGGATGATCGGGGAATCTGGAGCAGAGAGGGACGGAGGGGGGGCGGGGGCCCAAGGCCATCCCTCGTAGTGGAATCCAGACGAGAGTTTCTATTGTAATCATTTACGCTCCGCGCATGCCCACCAGCCTATCCAAGAACAACTACCAGGCGAATTGCCACACCACAGCGCCACAACGCCACAACGCCACCCCCACAACGCCATCCATCCACAAATATCCGTCCACGCCACGCCACAACGCCCTGCGCAACCAGACCTTCTTCGACGCCTTGGCCACCGGCCACACTGGGGCGGAGAGTTGGAACGCCCGGCGCTGGTACTCCCGCGCCCCGCCGGGGAGGCCACCCCTGGGGGCGAGCAGGGCGGGTCCGAGGTGGACGACACGGCCGCTGCCCTGCCGACGTCTGCCTGCCACGGTGGTCGGCGGCCGCCTCGGATTTTGCCGCCACGTCCGGGCTGCGCGCCGATCTCTTCGCCTCGTCGGCCACTTCGTCCGGCGCAGCGACGGAGCGGTACGAGGAGTTCAAAAGGCAGCGCCAGGACACCGTGCGGCATTGCGCGGCACAAGGCTTGACCTTCCTCCCCCACGGTGGTGGAACCCCACGGTTGGGGCTGCGAGGCACGCGAGGCTTTCGGGGTCCTAGCAAAGCTGGTGGCTGATGCCGCTGGGGAAGACGCTGCACTTGTTGCGGACCAACGCGCCCGACGATTTCTGTCCGCTGCACAGGGAGCGGCGCCTCCAAGGCGGGGGTGGCAGCGGCCCGCCTGGCCGCGGTCACGACTGCCTCCACGGCGGACGCCGTGTGAGGTTCCCCTGGAGCTGCCTGGCGCCCCCCGCCCCCCCCCCGCCATTGCGGGGCAGCACGGGCGCCTCCCGCGCCCTTTCGCCGACGTCGCGCTGGCGACCCTTCACGCGCCCCGTTTGGCCTTTCATCGGCGGCGGGGAGGGCGATCCCGCAAAGGGCCCCCCCCCCTCAGCTGCAGCATGCTGGGCTCGGTCGGCCACCCCGCCCAGGTCGCCGCCGTGAGGTCTGGAGCCTCGTCGCTGGTGGCTCCTCTTGCCCAGCCCGTGGCCCAGCCTGTCTGCTTGCGGGTGCTTCCCCTGCCCTTCGCCTCTTCTTCCTCCCCTTCCTCGTCTCTTTCCTTCTGCTCCCTGTCGGCCTGCGGCTGCTTTCCCTTCTCCTCTTCCTTGCCTCTCTCTCTCTCTCTTTCTTCCTGCTCTCGGCCTGCTGTCTGCGCCCAGCCTTCCTTTCGCCTGCCCTTCCGCCTGCCCGCCCGCCCTGCCAGCCCCGGCTTCCCGCCTGTGCGTTCGTCGTTGTCAGCCTTCTCCACTTCTCTTTCTTTTTCGCTGGGGAGCAGCGTGGCCGTGCGTAGACGGCCCATGCCGTTGTATGACGCATTTGTTGTGCGAGCTCAATTTGGCACTGCGTTTTTTCGGCTTCAGTACTTCCCAGACAGAAGCATGTACAGCTTCCTGACTGCCAAGATAGAGGGTCGGGCAGCACTTATGGGCCAAGTGGTTGGGCCAGCCTTGACGGATATTGTAATGAGTTCGGGCGGCCTGCCCTGATCAGGGACGTGTGGCAGCATGCGCTCACGCATTGGGAACCTCTTGGAAACACGCACGGTCGATTGTGGGGCCTTTGTGGGGGCCATGTTGAAAGCCTTTGGGGCTCTCTTGGGGTCCTTTTTGTAGGTTTTCGGGGGTTTGTTAGGGCCACTTTAGAGGCCATCAATTGTACAAGGGGTGGGTTGGGGGTACCAGTTACGAGCCCCATCCTGTCGCGGACGCTGTCCAATGACGTTTCGCGTGTCCCCACCAGTCCATCCGAAACGAAACCGTCGCCTAGGCGAGTTGAGACGATCATAGAAACGTAGAGACAGAGCGGGGGACAATCGCTATCGTTCGAGCAAGGAGGAGGAGGAGGAGGAGGAGGAGGAGGAGGAGGAGGAGGAGGAGGAGGAGGAGGAGGAGGAGGAGGAGGAGGAGAGGAGGCGGAGGGAGGCGGAGGAGGAGGAGGAGGAGGAGGAGGAGAGGAGGAGGAGGAGGAGGAGGAGGAGGAGGAGGAGGAGGAGGAGGAGGAGGAGGAGGAGGTGGAGGAGGAGGAACATTATGTATGAATATGATGGTGAATTTGCGGATGAGGAGGAGCAGGCGGAGGAGGGGGAGGAGGAGGAGGAGACGGAGGAGGAGCAGGAGGAGGAGGAGGAGCAGGAGGAGGAGGAGGAGGACGAGGAGGAGGAGGAGGTGGAGGAGGAAGAGGAGGAAAAGGACGAACAGAAGAGCCAGAAACTTTTTGAATGCCGCTCGGAATCTCCTCGGATGTCGGTTGGAAGCTTTTTGTGGCCTTTTGGGCGTCTCTTAGAGCCGTCTGTGAGCCCCTTTGGGCCCCTCTTGGGGCGCTCTTGGGAGCTTTAGGGGCGCTCTTTGAACCATGGCGGAAGACATCGATACAAACATAGGGGAGCTTCAACTTGCCTTGCTCTTCTAGGGTGCCTAAATCGCCCCTTGAGGCGCTCTCGGGGCGCTCTTGGGGTGCTGTTTGGCGCTCTTGGGGCCCTCTTTGGACCGTCTTGAGCTCCTCTTGGGGCTCTCTCGGGCCGTCCTGGGGCCATCTTTAGGCCTCAAGGGCCTATCGGGGGCGAGAAGACGAGAAAACACAACACATGGATCCTCCTCAGGTTTTGGAAGGATTTTGGCCTCTTGGGGGGTCCTTTGAGGGCTCGGAGGGCACTTGCAACCGTCTTGGGGCCGTCTTGAGGCCTCTTGGATGTGCGTCGGAGGGTACAGTGGAGACCCATGTCAAGAAGCACCCTGTTTGCCTCCAGGGTGCCCTGGGTTTCTTGGTTTCGATGTTTCTGCTATGGAAGACGTGACGTTCCCACTTCAATATCAGTGGACGTCCTGGGGTCTCAGGGTTGGGTTTCTTGTGGAAGGCCCAGCGGGCTGGTGGAATCAACTCTTGTTGCTCTTTTAAGTCTCTCTTGGGGCTGTCTTGGTTCCCTCCTGGGGCTCCTCTGGCCATCTTGGGACGATCTCTAGGCCTCGGAAGGCCTCGTTTGAAGCGAACATGGCGAGAAGACATCAGACCATTGGTTCTCTCAGGTGTTGGAAGGATTTTGGTCTCTCGTCGGGGTCCTTGGGGTTCTTCGTGGTAACTTAGAGCCGTCTTGGCAGGGTCATGGCGCCCCCTGGATGCATAGTGTGAGCTATCTTGAGCTATCCTGTGCGATCTTGAAGCTCCACTTGGGCTATCTGAGGCCCCGTTGGGGCCTTCTTGTGGAGGGAACAGTGGAAGGATTGAACGTATGCCCCGAAGATGGTTGGAAGTGGGAGCGCTCTAAACCACCTCCGCCCAGACGGCTGGTGGGATTCCTCCGCTTCTGCGCTCCTGCTCTCAACTCTATCACAGTTCCTGGTCTCGTCTGCTCTTTTGGTGCGTCTCTCGTGTTTCGCCCTCCCGTCTGATTATCTTATCTCGTGGCCCATGCTGCTTTTCTCGTTCATGCCCGCCACGCCACACTCCCGACCATCGCTTGTCCTTCTCGTCGGCGGCGACTGATTGCGAAACGTTGTCTTCCTTTCACAGAGCACGCTAATTTACTGGATGATTAGAGTCCTTCCTTCGCACCCCCTCTTCCTCTTTCCCCTTCTCCCCTTTCTCCTCCTCCTCCTGTCCTCCTCCTGTCTTCCTCCTCCTCGTGCCCCTCCGCCTCCTCCTCGCCTTCCTCCTCCCGATCAGGCACTTTTGTCTGCACCGACATGATTATGGGGCTCTCGGACGAGCCGCCTGAGATCTTGACGCGGTCTCCGTACAAGGATCGTATGCTCGTTCGCGCACGCGCGGTAGGGGGGAGGGAAGGAGGATGACGAGGACGAAGGGGACGGTGATAATGACGACGATGCCGATGGCGACGACGATCTTGATGATGATGATGATGATGATGATGATGGTGGTGATGATGATGACGATGATGATGGTGATGATGGCAAGGAGGAGGAAGCGGAGGAGCATGACGACGACGGCGACGACGACGATGAGGATGCTGCTGCTGCTGATTCTGATGCTGCTGATGATGATGGTGAGGAGAAGACGGATGACGCGGATGCGTCGGACGATAGTGCAAGAGAGGTATCGGTTCTTTTACATGGAGGAGCAGGACGAGCAGCAGCAAGGGAAACATGAGGAGCGTGAACAGAGAGGCGAAGAAGAGGGAGGAGGAGAAGGAGGAGGAGGAGAAGGAGGAAAAGGATCATGTGGATTAGAAGGAGCAGGAGGAACGTGGAGAGGAGAGCGAGTAAGATGCTGAGGAGCAGGGGGATCAGGATAAGGATGGTGATGCTGATGATGATGCTGATGATGATGATGATGATGATGATGATGATGATGATGATGATGATGATACTGACGACGACAATGATAATGCTGACACAGATGAGGACGATGATAATGCTAATGACGACGACGATTGCGATCATGCTGATGCTGATGATGATGCTGATGATGATGCTGATGACGATTCTGATGATGATGAGGTTGAATGGTGATGATGGTGACGATGATGTCGACGATTATGATGATGACGATGATGATCATGATGCTGCTGATGATGATGATGATGGTCATGCCAGTGATACTGATGATGATGATGTTGCTGATGATGATGATGATGGTGGTGATGCGGATGCTGATGATGTGGATGATGCTGATGATGATGCTGATGATGCTGCTGTTGATGATGATGGCGACGATGAGGATGATGATGCTGATGATGATGATGAGATGATGATGATGCTGATGATGATGATGGCGATGCGAATGTCGATGGTGATAATGATTATGATTATGATGCTGTTGGTGACGATTCTGATGATTATGGTACTGCAGATGATGCCGATGCTATTGCTAACGATGACGACAATGATGACGATGCTGATGATGACGCTGCGGATGATGACGATGTGGACGATGATGACGACGACAATGATGATGATGCTGATGATGCTCATGATGCTGATGCTGTCGCTGATGATTATGATGATGCTGGTGATGTTGATGCTCATGATGATGCTGATGATGGTGATGCTGATAATGATGATGATGAAGATGATGATGATGATGATGATGATGATGATGATGCTGATGAAGATGATCATGGTGCTGCTGCTGATTGTGATGATGACGATTACGATGATCATGTTATTGATGAGGAGGTC